TTACCAGATTTAAACTGATGATCTATAATCCTGAAAAATCGATAATCCGGAATCGCCGAAGTCCCGATTAAAGACTTTTGACGAGTCCCGATTAACGACTTTTGACTGTATTAATATTTTTCTTCTAAAATATAACTTTTCTGAATATCTGTATAAATTTGTATATGTATAAAGTTTCATTTCATTTTTCATTAATATTATTTTTTTTTTCTCTTTCTTTTTTTTTGGGTTAGCTACATGGTATTGCGGCCACCTAACAGAAGTAGGTTTGGCTCATGTAATTACGACAAAGCCAGAAGGCTACATGCCTAAGGGGAGGGATGCCTTCGTGGAGGACGTTCTAAGGAAAACTGGCTCGTATACACATTACATATAAGGAAAACTAAGGAAACACCCAAACTAAGGACAATCCGTTCGCGGGATTCAAAATTCAGACCAAACTACCAGTGCTCTGCGGCTTTACCACTCAGACGCTACTGGGCCTATCAGAAATAGAGTGACCGTTTTACTTAATATAGAACCAGTCTCTTCCGATAAAAATTGCTTTTTTAGGCTAAACCTTTATAAATGCGTTGTTCAAAAATGTCCCAAACCTGAATACCGAAGTAAGTATTAGTTTTGAATTATGCTTTTAAAGGAAATATTGGCGGTTTAGTGTTAGATTAGCATCTCTACTTTATTTTGCTATTAAAAAAATAATAAAGAGAACTTTCAACGTTATCGTGACCGAAAAGAGATGTTTAAAACTCATTGTCACCTCATCGTCAACCGGCAGTTATTTACCATTCTTAAGATAAAAATAAGCAACTCTATTAAAATGTCAGAATCGGGCAAACTCATTTTTACCTACTAACTTTGGTCATTATGATAAAACTTCAAAAGTTAATACTGAGAGTGCTGAATTATTGCATAATTTTTATTTAGGGAAGAGAAATGATTGCGTATACTATATATAAAGAGAGAGAAGAACTGCGATATACGGTGTTTATTCTGGGGTTCTATTGCCTGATGAGAGAAGAAAGATGATAGTGTGTGTAATATTATGATTGTGAAAGACGATTGTGAGTACATAATATTATACATAATATTATTACTAATTAGTTAGGAAAAGATAAATCTATGTATGTTTTTACAGTGTACTAAAACATGCACTATCCAATTCCGATAAATCATATTCAAAAGGCTTTCACGCGATCCAAATCATTTAGTAGGCGTGGTTAGAAAATAAGAATGGAGTTGCATATCAGCAGCGTTTTCGATATATGAAGATTGAAAAATGTAGTTTCTGTGGAAATATATTCAGTTCTGAATAAAATAAAACCATAAAGAATATTTTAATTCTAAATTAAACATAATGCAACAGTTTAGTTTTATAAACATTAACCTAAGTATTTCAAACAAGAGACGTGGTCAATAAAATGTTACAGAATCGCGCTTTTAATTTCCTACAAATTTGAAAGCATTAAGAAGAGCCAGATTGGAAAATTAATATCATTAAGTAAACAAGAAAAATTATTAATGATGTGAAAGTGTTCAAAAGAACCCAGTTGATTAATGAAGAAGCTTTACGGATAATTTTTAAAATCCCATATTAAAATGTAATTAAGTGACCGCCGTACTTAGGTAAAAAAACACTTTTTTCCTTTAATTATTTAATTCATATTCCGATGAGAAATTTCAGCGCTTTTTCAATTTGGCCAATATACACCACACAATAATTAAAAGCACATATGAGATCTTTAAGAATCAAAAAATTAGTTTTGCTGATAAGTGAAGAAAATAATTTAAATATTGAACTTATTGAGAAGTTGAGAAATTTTTTAATTGATAGTAAATTTGAATAATTATTGGGTACGTGTCAGCTAAATGTCACTGTCGACTTAGTGTCCTGTTGATTAAATGACTTGACAGTTAAGTACCCGTAGCTAAACGTCCTGACGGCTAACTCTCTGTGTTGGCCATATGTCCTGTCAGCTAACTGTCCGTGTCGGCTAAATGTCCTTTTCGGCTAAGTGTCTTGTCGGGTAACTGCCCATGTCGGCTAAATGACCTGTCGGTTAAGTGTCCGTGTCGGCTAAATGTCCGTGTCAGCTAAGTGTCCGTATCGGTTAAATGTCCTGTCGGCTAAATGCCCATGTCGGCTAAGTGTCCATGTCGGCTAAGTGTCCGCGACCGATTTTGTAGTCCTCTCACTGTGCTCATTTACTGGGAGGATACTCATGTATGAACTCATACTTTATGACATGACAGCATTATATAGTTAAGTACATGCTAATAGGCGGCACTGCAGAAACAGAGATAACAATCAATCAAGCAGGCAGTAGAAAGTCCAATATGCAAGAAATAGTTGATGTCTTGTTAGTGCATATAAAGTTATATTACACATTTAGTTAAAGAATCCATTAACATCTATTTATGCATTCATCATCAACACCAACACAATACAGTCAAAAGTTGTTAATTCGGACACCCATAATTCGGAATGATCTATAATCCGGACCTCAAAACTAAAAACTTTCTGCGCATGTGCCGCGTTGACACATGCGCATAGGCGTTTACGCGTGCGCGTAAGACCTTTTACGACTGCGCATATGAGTGTGCACAAGTGTAGAATACGTTTTCGCATGCGCGTTTTATGTATAATGGACGTATAAGCTAAAATTATCTAATTATCTATTTCAGTTAATTGTTGATAATTGCGTTGTTCCTTAATTTTCGAATTGGATTTGGCTTATTATTTTTTGCAGACTGTAAGAGCAATTTTATAAAAGTAAGCTTAAACTTTCGATTATATCAAATAGAATTTCCGATATATATTTGTTAATATGTAAAGTATCTAAAGCAAAAGTATGTTTTGAAATCCGAAATCTGTTTATCGATTTCACGCCGCTCAGCGGGGGGAACGCCGCGGCGGGCGCGTAATTAATTGGAAGTTGATCTGTCAGCACTATCCTTATCTTCAGGGCAGATGTTTTTATTTTATTTGGCTTATAATTCCTTACCAAATGTAGTATTTCATCTCGATGAGCTCCGTCTTTGATATGATTTAACCTTTTAACTGTCATGCCCAAGATAACAGCACTGGTGTTCGAAAATGTCACGCTCGAGTATTATTCGGGGTAATTTTTTTTTGAGGGCATCGTATTGTTATACCCGAATATATATCGGGAGACGTTTTATTTCGGCTTCATCTCTTTGTCAAACCCGACTGTATCTCCGGGGAAAGTTAATGTGCGCTCAGTTCAATAGATGACAGCACTTTAACTGAAGATTTCAAAGGTTAGAGGTTTAAGTGCTTTGGTTTCAAAGTGCATGGGATCTTTTTGTTGTAAAATAGTGTCCATCTTCTTTTTTGAAACATTATATAATGATTTAGATTCTTCAACCAAAGGTGAAGGATGTGTGTTTGATGAGCAGTATTTATGATACTTCCATGGTCAGCCTCAAAAATAAAAAACAAATAAAAAATGAAGATATACTCAAGCCGAAGATTGTTTCTAATTACGGTCTAACTATGGGTGGTGTAGATCGTTGTGATCAGGAAATATCCTTTCATCCAACAATCCGAAAACGTCAGAAAAAATATTATAAAAAGATATTTTTACATTTTACTAGACAAGGTACTCTGGAACTCATATTTGCTCTATAAAAATGTAGTTGGGAAACGTATTACATTTTTAGAAATTTCGAATTCCAAGTTGTAGAAGAGCTTTTAGATAAATATGATGATGCAGCTTCTGGACAAAAGAATGTTGGCAGACCACCCCTAACAATAAATAACCCTGCCCGTCTTACTGAACGAACATTTTATATTCCCGTATTTTCCTCCTACTCCTGCGAAACGTGAGGCCTACAAGGACAGTGCAAAGTGTGTTGTTCGAAAAAGGATAAAAATGGGGAAAATATAAGGAAGAAATCACGATTCTGGTGTAGTGATTGTGCAACTGCCATGTTGAGTGGCAGCCGCCTCAAAGAAAATATGCAGTGGCTACAAAACTTTAAAAAATTTACCCATGTACGTGAAAATATCAATTTTTAACTACTTAAGTATATTTTATTTTGTACTAAACATTTGGTTTTTCGAATAAAAAAATTTGACAATTTGTGTACCCAAATCATCAAAATAACTTGACAATTAAAGGGTTAAAACAAGTTCCTCGTCATGATAATTCGCTTCCAATAGCGAAGAAAGTAACAGAGGTTATTGAAAACGAAAAAATTTCGATTGACAAATTAGTCGGTGTTCTCGACACAGCAATTATAGGACTTGAACAGCAGAACTTTGTAACTGAAAAAGAAATTATGTCTGTTTAATAGAATTAAAGAGAAAGTATTGTCACATGAAACGAAGCAAAACTTAAACAACTTACATTGAAAGAAATGTTTAATAAAGTAAACAAATAAATATTAAGCTTTTTCTTTTTGCAAATTTCGATACTCTTTAGATCATAATTGTTCTTTATTTTATAAATTATGGTTTCATATTTTTAATTTTAGAATTTCTGCATGCCATCTTACGAGATTTAAACTGATGATCTATAATCCGGAAAAATCGATAATCCGGAATTGCCGAAGTCCCGACGAGTCCGGATTAACGACTTTTGACTGTATTACAAGATCTGGCAGAAAAGAATATCTTAAGTAATATTCAAATAACAATGCATCTTACTTCCATTAGTTGCAAAATACCAAAAAATTATTTTTTTTTTTACAAAGACAATAGGCAAGCATCTACAGTTGCCATATACACATTATATTTTCTCATAGACAGTAAAGAACAGCTATCCAGAGAATTTCAGACAAAACTGCAACAACATACAGAAATCATTGCACTGTTGTGCTTGCACAGATAGGTTAACTAATTATGTGGTTTAAATTGACACATAACCCTTTAGTTCACATTCTCACATATCAGATCCAAAGCCTAAAAAAAAAGCTGATGTCAATTAAAAGATTATACAAATTATTAAAAAAAATCTATAAGAAAGAAACATAATTACCCTCTTATACACATGTTCATACTCAGGAGGATCTTTTACTTTTATTGGTTCAATTATTTCATGCAGAGAAGGATCTACATTTATCGCTTCAATACATTCAGGCACAGGAGGGTCAGTATTTATTGGTTCAGTGGTGCAAGATGGGGTAGTTTCCTTAGCCTCTAGCCCTCCTTTATCATTTTCCATCTCCAAATCCATTAGGGCTAATATGACAGTCAAGCAGATTAACTATAAAAAATATGTAAGGCTAGATGACATATAAATAATATTTTTTAAAAATGGTTCAGATTTTAACAACTTGAATGGTTTTTATGTCCCTTCTTTTAAAGTTAATATGGTTTATCAGTACATATTATCAGCAGAATGTCCCAGATGGAACAGGAAAATGTTTTATATGGTACCAGATGCTCCATATATTTTATGGGATACTAGATGAATATACATCAAGACTACCGAGGGAATATTATATATCTTCTGCATATTTAAAAAGTGGAAAAATACATAGAATAATTCTAAAAAAATATTTAACATTTTTAATTAGATGTATTATGCATAAAATGCCTTTATTTAAATCACTACATTTGACTTAAATCAATAAGATTAAAAAATAGTATAATAATATTCTTAAGAACTGCATCAACTGCTTTTAAACACCTTAGTTTGTTAAACATTAAGATAGATTAAGATAAATATCTTACATTTTGCTGAATGGCAACTGACTGGAATTCAAAACAATGCATTTATATTGGACTATATTTAAAATGAACCAACATAAAGTTCGGTTTCAAGACAATAATCCTTTTGGATTAAAAATACATGTTCATTCAAACATATATTTTATACAAAGATCAAAATTCATTAGTTAACAAGTAAAAACAATTATATGCCATAAACCATACATGGGCAACATCAAGCAGTTCTGGGGCCAAATTATGACTCTCTTGCCAAAACAAGGATAAATTATAAAAGCAACCACCTTTTGTTTGGCATAGGTTTAGTCAAGAACTCTATTGATTTCGAGGGCTATGACATAAAGCCTTTTTTCCCCCATTAACTTGCCAACTGCTTCTATTCTAGAATGTCCTTAATTTCAGCTGAAGAGATAAGTTCCTCTTTGTTGTCTACCAAAACTTTTTCATGCTTCTTAATCGGTAGTTTCATGCTTCTTAATCAGTAATAATTTTAAGTTCCACAGAGTTATCATGAAGAAGTTCATTTATGTCTTCTTCATCCTTCTGCAGGCCCAAAGTTCTTTCGAGGACACAATCTCTTCCAAGACTTCCTTTATGCATCCGAGTCTGAATCCTTCAAAATCCCTTTTGGACACCACCTCAGGCCACAAGTTCAAGGCCCTCCCTGAAACATCCCGTCATGCCATATCAATCATTCTTAGGCCTACTGCAATATTATAATGGTCCTTCCAGAACTTGTGAATGTTGAGGTTGGTGCTCTCAATCACATCAGAACACTGGTAAAATGAGTGTTTGGTGAAGTTTTTTTTTTTTTTTTTGCTTTGAAATAACCTATTAGTCTATGGGCTGTGGGAATAGGATTAAGGTTGGGCGGATGACAAAAAACCTTGAAGAACTTGCACTCTTTGTGGATGTTATCTTCAAGTTTCAGGGGGCATGCAGGAGCACTGTTGAGTACAAGGAGGACTTGTAAGTGCAGTTTATTTTCCTCCAGATATGTTTTTAACAGTGGGACAAAAGACCAGATTGAGCCACTCAATAAAGAACTCCCTGGTGACCTACGTGTGCACGTTCGTCTCTCTCATAACTTGGGAGTTTTTCTTGTATGACCTTATGGGTCTTAAGTGTTCAGATATTTCCTGAATGGATTCTGAAGTCATCACTCACATTTGCTCACAGAACAAGGTTCAACCTATCTTTTATGAGTTTGCGACTTGGCACTCCTTTACCGTTATACGATTGATTCCTCCTTGGCATCCTCTTTCAGAACAGCCCTGTCTCATCACAGTTCAAGACTTTCTGAAGGATGTACCTTTTGGCTTCTATTAGTATCAGTGCCATAAAAATTTCATGGAATTCCTCCACTGCCTTCACATCTGAGCCTGCTAGTTTGTCTTGCCAGAATTTCAGTTCACCTTTTAAACGTTTTCAAACCAGCAACAACTTACCTTGAATATCTTTTCAGATTAGTTGTATAAACTGACTGGAGCCCATTCTAGCAAACTGGCATATATAACTCATGTATTCTTGCCAACGACAAATTCAACAACAAATCCTCCATTTTTTCATTTATAGAAGTCTACTGTTTCAGTATTGCTGTAATGCCCTTGGATGGTGCTAAAGCCTTTACTGTCTTCTTCTGCTTTAATATTGTACACATTATAGAAGCAGTAAGCTCAGACTGCTTGATTAATAATTATAAATATATAATTTATGGTAATAATATCTTAATAATAGTGGAAAACTGCACAAATCCACGAAGAATGTGTGAAAGCAAATACAAAATATTATAGAGATATGTTTATCCAAGGTAGTCCAACATGAAACGAACAAGCAAGCTTGCTTTTCAATTTGTTTATAAAGAAACATGTCAAAAAAAGAGACATTTGGAATCAAAAACAGAAAAGTTATCCCTTTATTATTACAACCCTGCTATTAAAATATTAATTATTATATTAAGAGCCTTCTTACTATTGAACTGTGTGAACGCAGCAACTCTACTCCAAGTTCTTTGCAAACTGTTGGCAAGTAGCTGGCAATCCTAGCACAGTCACATTTAAGCCTGTTACAGTTTTGGAACATTAACAAGAGTGTTCTTAAATAATGAGGGACTTGCAAATAAGGAAATGTAGTAAAAAATTCAGACAGCTTTGTATTCACAGTTTTTTCCCAAGAATTCTCCACACAACATGAAAAATTTATCATAAGTGTACAGCGCAAAACATCTATTCTCTCTCAATACCTTTTATTACATTTTCCCCTTTGTCATAGGCTTTTTCTAAATTTTTAATCAATAAAATACCAGCTAACTTTGTAAAAATAAAAATCAGAAGATTTTATAAAAAATTCAGAAAAAGCAGAAAATTAATTTTACAGAGCACGAACGATAACACATATGTAACTTATTAAAAAAAAAAAATTTTTTTTAAATTACACATAGAAAAATACTTATACAAATTAAAACAAATTAAATTAATTTGAACACAATTACAGTAATTCTTTGCTAAAAAGTAATTAAAAAGTTCTGTTTTATAATATTGATTATCTTGTTTAAATTTTAGAATCAAAAAATTTGAAAATTGCAAAAATGAAAGACATTTTAAAACATAATAAATGAAAATATTTTTTTTTTTTAAAATCTGGAAGCTTTTAAATTTTATAATATGCCCAAAAGAGTTGTAGTGTCCAGATGGGTTAACTTCTATCTGTATACTGGAGTAGCAGTAAACTACACAGAAGAAGAGTTCAAACACTTTATTAACTCTTTAAAATTTACACTGCGTCAACTCGACGCTAACAAACTTTGCCTCTACTTGGGTGGTAACCGAAAATCAAAAGTTGAAATGTTTAACAAGTGATAAACTAACCTACAGGGCTCAGCGAGATACCGAACTTCGATCCTCTCTATAACTAGTGACAGCAGATAAATGCCTTTAAGCCACTTGAACCAGCAATCCGCAATTGTACCTACGACAGAGATGGCTGCTCGAGCCCAACTCTCTAACTTCCCTTCTAAAACCTTGGCATTTAAACTTTCCTCCTCAAAGTAGAATTTGCATTCTTGCACGCACGCTACCAAATTTAACTATTCTGGCACTGACAATTAGGGGAATGAAGGCTTATAGGAAAGTCTGAACTAAAATTTAAATTATTAGTTAAAATAAATATAAATCCCTACAGAGTGTTTTTTCATTTACATACATGTTTTGAAAGGATTGGCTAAAAATGCCACTTTGAGACTAATCGCCACCTCTATGAAATATGTAAAAATGGCGTATCTTTAGAATTTTGGATAGACAGTATCGCACGCTGTGCCATTGCTTGCTTTGAAACCATTGAGTTTGTTAACCGAAAATTCATTAAAGTTTTACCAAAACATGAAATAGATAATAAAACAGATTTAAAATTCAAAATTCGGGCATCCAAATGCCCCTGTTCGGGTGCAGGATTATGTTATTCAAAATTTGATAGCTCCAGGTACCATCGATTCTTCACAATGCAAGAAACATATATACACTCATACAAATTCTTCATTATTTAATTCCTTTAAATGTAATACAGGGCAATAATTTTTGGTGGCAACAATTTAAAAAGTTATTTGCATTTTGTGACTAACAGCCCTTCTGAGCTACCGTCCCTCTAGGCTAATAATTTAATATTATTTTTGAAAAAAAAAAAAAAAAAAAAACAAAAAAAAAAAAAAATATTTTAATATTCTATTATTATTTTAGATTTCTTATATTTGTTAAAATAATTTTCATGAAATTCATATATCACACACCAAATCGAAGTTTTTGTACACAAACTGAGCTTAAATTTGAAAAAATCTTAAGCTTACAATGCCCAACTAAAGAATTCATACTATGCCACAAACAGAAAAAGATTGTTTTTTGTGCAAAAAAGAGAACAAATTAAAATGATGATCCAAATTTCTGGCATAAGCATGCATTTCAAATATAAATCTAGGAGATAATCACCAAACTGGCAAAATTTGTAGTGTCTTTACAAAAAAATACAAAAAAAATTATTTTGCGTTTAAGATGTAAAATTAGTGCAGTTTTTCTAAAGGTTTTGAAAAATTCCAGAAAATTGTTTCAACAGTCTACCATTGTCGCTAATCTTTTTTTTTTTTTTTTTTTTAATTTTACTGATTTTTATTAGACTGATAATTTTTTCTGCAAAGGAATGGCCTACATGAGAAGTTCTCAATGGGATCAATGAAATTTTAAAGGGGACTGATGATGATCAAGGGGTCAACAGCTGAATGCATCCGCGATTGATTGGTGTAATCAGATCCAATAGATTAAAAAGAAATTAACAAACTTTATAATTTATTGCTTATTGATATAAAGCTACACCATGTAGTAAGGAAGTAAACATGAAATAAGCATAAGGGGGAAATACATATAAAAAAAAAGGCCCTCGAAACCGAATAGTACCAAAAACTATATATTTTTAAAATCAATTATTTTTTAATATACACATCTTTTATGCAATAAGTACAACATAAAAAAGTAAAATGCAGGAACACAAGGTAACACAACCAAAAACAATACAAAGAACACTAAACTACTGGACCACTTCAAAATCTATGCACTGCATCAACACATCTAACTGCATCTATGTGGCAAGTGCACCCCCCAAAATTGCATTAACACATCAAATGCATTTTTGTATACTCATTATTTTCTGCTTTTTAAATCTAAGATTTTCATATCCGGCATACAGCATGTACCCGTGAATTTCGATCTTATTTTTTATACAAAATGTGTGCGTTATACGCCGGAGGCTTTAGTGTAGAATTGGATGCCCCTTCGATTAGTGACAATTTTTTTTTTTTAAATTTTGGCGATGAAACCTCATTTCTGGTTACCACGATAGTTTTAACTTTGTTTTAGCTTCTTGATTTTTTTTTAAATGAAAATGGAGTGATGAGTACATGGACAAATTTAAGGCAGCGCGCAATGCCTAGTTTGTGCAATTCTGAGATGCTTTTTTTAAGTGAAAACATGAAACACGTTTAAGTGATCGATGTGTACTTGGACACAGTGTTTGCGGAATTCTTTGACTTCTTATTTTAATTTTGTGTAGCGGCCATCTTAAAATTGTGCCTTCCTGGCGTCGAAAAAATCGCCAAAAAACAAGAGGCACCCAATTGTAAACTTTTATCTACGCTGGAATAGAAGGCGATATTTTTTTCCCCAGCTGTTTCTGAATGAATGCGTTAATTGTCTATTTTTATTACTATTATAAACTGAAGGTGAGTTCATAAAATCCATCAATATCCACAAGTGTGAAAAGTATATATATATATACACACAACCAAAGGTTGTTGCATGCATATAAATGAGATTAAAAAAATATACTATGAAAATATTTAAATATATCAGTAATGAAGTAGTGTTACATATGAATAAAATGTAAAAATAACAATACTGTTTAATTACTATACGATGAATATGAACACTTGTTAAATATAACAAAGCATTTATTATTTACAGAAAACAACTATTACCCTACTCCTAAAGATCCATGACACCAAATAGAAGTGTAAACATAATTGACTGTTGCCAATTAAATCAAAGCTAAATTAGAGTACAAACCTAAATATCGTTTACAAATTCCTACGCATATCTATGACTCCGACATGCAAACATGAAATGGTTCAGTAAATTAGTCTTCCAAGTTTTCTTTCTTATTTGGTCTAGAAACTGATGGAAAAGCTTCATGTTTATTTACATCATCAACACGACTGTTCGACGATATCGGTAAACACTAGAATATCTTTGGGAAAATCAACATGTTACATCTAAACTTTGGAGTATGGATTGATGCATCCTTAGCTAAGGCTCCTATATACCAGGCTGAATCATCAGGCATTCGCGCTCCCAAGTGGGAGATTTAATGGCGGCTCTGTGGTTACGGTGCAACAATTTTTTGTGTTTTTTTTTGTGTAAAATGGGCGGATGTACAGCTATTACTTGTTCAAATCATTCACGGAAAGGTCATACATTGGTAAAATTTCCTAAAAATGAAGAAAGAAGAAAAATATGGGTAAATAATTGCCGAAGAGACAATTGGAAACCTGGTCCAGGCGCTGAACTTTGCTTAGTAAGTATAATGTTTAATTACGCCTTCATTTAGAGTTTATATCTTCTCTGATGTTTATAATGTGCAAGTAAAGTGAAATTCTTGTGTACAATAACCTGAGTATCTGCTAATTTCTGTAATAATAGCTATAATTAAATTAGTCTAGGGTTAATGTACCCGTCGCCAAACATCGCCAATGTAGATGTTTTGAATGTGGAAAAGAAATTTCTCTTCTAATATAAAGCGCGGATTTTGTTTTCCTGTGCTAATTGTGGAATTTATACTAATGTAACATGAAAATCATTAGCATATTGAAATTTATTAAAAAATAAATAATAATTTGGAAAGTCAAGATAAAATCTGAATGTTTGCTAAAGATATATGTAACATTATACTATAGTTGCAATATCGTTGGAATGATATATAATTTTTTTCTTTATTTTATAATCACTATTGTTAAAAAGTTAGATGAGTTGTTTATGCACGGTGCCCACTACTGTTTCTTGGTTAAAATAACTTCCAGAATTTTGACATTGACATCTGAAGTCAATAGAATAAATTGAATAGTGTGAGACAAAATATATATAATCTGACTTCAATAATTGCAAGGATTGTGCAAGTTTATTTATAATCACAGTATTATACAATTTGGCAATGGAGTAAAGATTTAGAAATGAATGCAGAACATTCAAATTAGTATTTTCTTGTTTCTAATATATAGAAATATAGTCTATTTTCCAGTATAAAAGTTTTACTTAAAAGTATGGGAAAGCAGATTTGTTTCATGCATGATCTTTATAATACTGGTATGAAATGAATGAATTTTAATCTGTAAACAATTTTTTGTTAATATTGAAATGCGTTTCTTTGGGTACATTTTTAGGCACTTGTGGATCATGTCAGACAACATGCAATAGAAAAAAGATGTCCGTGTGCATAAATTTTCCCATTGTGTTACTTCATTTTATCTAATTTCAAGGATAATTCTTTTCATTTTTATATGGCATGTTATCAGTATAAAGGCTAGTGAAAATAAATTGGTATGTGTATCTGTTTTTGAAGTGTAATGCTTAAATAAAAAGATGGTGTGTGTTTCTTCATTTAAACAAAATTTCAAGGATAGTATTTTTCAGTGTTGTACGTTTGTTATTTCTCAATGTAAAGGGTAACAAGGGGGAAAAAAAAACTGGTATGGTATATCTGTTTTTTAAGCATGATAATTTTTATTTATTTCTTTAGTGATGCATATATATAGAGAGAGAAGGTGTTTGGTCCAACTGAAGTTATAATAAATCTAATTTTACTAGATCTCTCCCTCCCCTCAGGTGTAGAAAATTTTCAAGTGCAGAAAGTTTATTTGCAGAATTAATTCATTTCTGATAAACTTATTATCATTAATTTTTTATATAACATGTTATTAAGTTACACATTTGACTACTGTGTAATAAAATTGTATTTAGGGCAAAAAATTAACTATAATTTTGCATCTGGTGACTAATATCATATGCTTCTAAGAATATTACTTTAACTTTTTCCATAATTTTTGTATTTCAGGAACATGAAACTGTTATTTTGATATACTTAAATAATAAAAGTGTGTATCTGAATCAATTAATGGATACAGATATTTTACAGTTATTTTTAGAAGATATTTTTTGCCATATCGCTTCTAATAATTCATAAAGTATGTTAAAATATAGGTAAATAATTTGGTGCAGAATTCAAATTTAGGCTTAGGGTTTAAAATAAATATAGTCAATCATAAGACTAAATGATTTTTATTATTTTTATTGTCATGATTTGCCTGGGCTTAAGAATGTACTTTTCGCCGCCTGGTGGAAATTGTCATCAAACTGTCCTGAACAGGCTTTTTGTTGATAATAACTTCCAGGCTTATCATACCTCCTTTTGAGTGGATGGTATGCAAATATAGTACCCAATTTAAATTACACATTGTGATTGTAATAATATTGTGGTATTAAATAAGTGATTATAATTACAATTTAGGTAATTGCATTGTAATTATATTACATTGTATCTGTGAACTCTTAATTTCATTACTTTATGCAATTATGTTGTAAGTGCATAATCTAATTGCAATAATATAATCTATTCGCAATTACAAAATAATTATAAATGCAGTTACATCTTAAATAGAGGCCATTTTAATACTTTTAAATTTTCGCAAGATAACTTCCCATTAAGGTTCATTTGGAGGAAACTATGCAAATACTAAAAAAGAAGTTATGCAATTTACATATTTTGTACAGTACTTTCTTGTTATAATGCTGTTCAATATATCTTCAATACTTTTGTAAATTTAACGACATTCTTTGCAATCACTGTGGTGCTTTAAAAAAAAGTTTCTTAGTTATGCTTTCTAATAAGAAATGGGTTTAAAATTAAGTATTATGTATAATAACTAGCAGTTAAAAAAACTTGACTGCATGAAAATGCTGTTGTGCTGTGTAAAATAAAAAATAAGCTTTCTTTTATGCTTTTGAAATGAATTACATGTGGTTAAGTCGTCCTTTTACAATTTAAGAATGTGGTTAACACACATTCTTAAATTGGACAGGTTTTATCTAAATTATTAGTATAAAATATATAAACTATGAATTATTTTGTAACATAACTCAAATTACAAAATTCATTCTATATACGTTCAAAGTTATTATCTTTTATGGAATAACTGTTTTTTAATTTAGGTAAAAATTGGATTTTTTAGAAGTATTACAAATACAATGCAACACAAAGGTGATCTGATTGAAGAGGAAGGACTTTTATTATTACGGTTTCTAGTTCGTATTTATATTACATTTGATGAAAAGCATCCAAAACACAGAATGCTGTACTTTCTTCTTCCATATATGTTATGAAATATTTCACACATTTAAAAAGAAAGTGTTTCTTCAGAATCTTGCACAATTATTTCCATATACCTCAGACTTAAATGACAACATATTCTTAAGTTATTTTTTTAGTATGAATTTACAGTGTTTTTATGGAAATTTTGTTTTAAAATGTCATTAAGATAAATTTATTTGCACACTCTACGCTTTAAACTATTTCCCCATTTGACACTATTGAAAGTTTTTATTCATATCTTATTTATTATAGTCTGCTAACGAAACTGAAACATCTAAAGAATAAGTTATTTTGAATATGTTTACAAAATATACGCGAAATTTTAATTTAGGTGAAAACGTCTATATACTATTCGAGAATTAATAAATTATCCGAAAAGTTTATATGCGCTGAATGCCGCGCGTCTATAAAATAAATCTTTAAAAAAACAGCAGACATTCAGCCAGCGTGTGCGATAAACGCGCAAAAATTGGCAGCGCGTTCACTCCCTCGCCAAGAGAGAAAAGTTGGTGATTCAGCCTGGTTTAGAGGAGCCTTATCCTTAGCCATCCGGAAGATAGAAAAGTTAAGATAATTTTTTTTTTTTGACATTTATAGAGAATTTAGAAATATTAATTTTGAGTGAGAATCTACGTATATTTTTTGGCATCCCGGTTCCAGACGGCCGAGTTAAGAATAAGAATTTAGAATAAAAGATTTAGAATACAAAAATTTATTACAGCAGGAAAAATAAATTAAATTCGAACTTTCCTACAGCTTCTGCAGTTGTTGATGATGCGAAAAATTGTATATTTTGTACAAAACCTAAAATTGAATAAATTGTTAAAATGATATTGAAAATTTGAAAAAGAGTAGAGGCTCTGTCAGACCAGCGGCAGCTGACACTATGAAATTATTAGCGAAATAAAAAATCTGAGTAAGCGAAATAAAAAATATGATGTGTATACCACATGACTTCCTTGTACGGAATATTAAATTGTACGCATTTTTCTTGCATTTCATTTAAATTTATTGGATTGAATTAAATCTGCTTCGTCGATAGCGCATAAACCACAATAGAATAAATGCACTCTTTAAAATTCACTGTATTTGTTTACCATTTATTTCACTATATTTGTTTAGCGAAACTCTGGCGTTAGGTTCACTTAACAACGTTATATTTCGTTCATATGTCTATGTTTATGTACTATGTCTATGTTTATGTGTCGTTACGCAATTAAGGGGCAATCGGCATACTTTACCAATATATTATAAATAGGCTATCTTTAATGATGAGTTGAATCCAATAAGATGAAACGTATTTTTTGCACCTAAAGCATAGTCTCTAGAAGAGAAGTAAACGTGGCGCCATCTTTCGGCAAAAATTGTAGTGAGCGTGTGCGGGTCTGAGAACCGAATCCAGGATGTGAAGATCTGCATCTTGAGGATTTCTGTCGCTCGTCTTGAGAGAAGCTGAGAATTAATCTTTATCTGCACAGTTTCAGAATCAATCTCAATGGCTTGGAAAGCTAGGCAAAGTTTCTGCATATTTGATTTAGCTGATTTAATTCTCTGAGCTATTGTGGTTATGATTTCATGAGATAAAGGGTTTTCTGATCTTTGAAAATGTTAATGATTTCTGCTAAATTTTCTTCCAGGTTTTTCTGCTTAATTTTGTCACTGTAAAGTTTTTTAGGCATTTCATGATTAGTTTGGGCTGAAGCTTGAATGAATTCGGGGAAGCGATCTTTAGTGGGAATTTCTTGAATTGGGCGTTTTCTGGGCTGATATTTTTCTATTGTGATGTTGAATCCGAACATATTGTTTAATTGCTGAATTTTCTCTCCTGCAGAATTTATTTTTAGTTCAAGGAAAAAATATAGGTAAACGGATAATTTGGTCTTCTGCTTTCTTCATGAAATTGCTTTACTTTAATTATATGGGAAGCTTCTGCGTTCTAAGTCTGCAGCGAATTGCTTGCTCGGTGTAGGATTTTGGGATATTCTTC